TCACTTCTTAACAGCACAACAGAGTTCTGCTACTGTTGCAGAAATTCCTGAAGCTCAGGGATCATAATTTTAAATACAATTTTAGTTATTGTCATTCATCTACTAATTAATAGATTATCGACTTTTTGGGATCAAATATATCTATTTTACAGTGACCCAGGTTACAGCCTACTATTATGATTGGGTGCGTGAAGGCTAGATGCATCTTAACAACCCCTCCCTTGTTGAAATTAATATTTTCATACACAGACAGTAAATCAGTCATGTTAAACTCAGAATAAGGAAAGTTTGATTCAATACCCAACTAGAGTACATGATAGTTGCTGAGTGACTTTAAGTCATTTATCCTATGTGACTGTCAATTTCTTCTTCTGAGAAAGGGGGGTTATATAATTCCTACAGCACAGATTCCTGTGAAATTCAAATGAGATGATATAATAGGTATGCTTTGGAAGCAATATTGTAAAGCCCTGTACAGGATACATTTTAAATTATTGTTATTGGTTTTGTTTTTAATTTTATTTTTATTACTACAAAGAGAACAGATTTCATGTGTTTCATAGATACAAGTCTAAGAATATGATACTTCCCTCCTTCTTCTTTCCTTTTTAAAATTTTTTGCAATAACATACTTTCAATTTACTTTGTAATCACAGGCTTAATGTTCATTATAGACAATGTTCCACAAGTAAAAAGTAAAAAGACCATTGTTCTGTAGGAACATATTTTGCTTCTATTATTTTAAAGCATGCTTTCAATATCAAGATTTATAATGATCAATTGTCAGTAACTTAGAGTTCCAATCTCTTTATACTTTGTAAAATTTTCAACCTGAACTCATTTGAGAACAATGTGTTAAAAGCAATTAAGAAAAACAATTAGCACAGTTTCAGAATATTTACCTTATATAGACACAGATCTACAAGGATAATGTGGTTGGTAAACCACACGTTCTTTGGTATTTGATACTTAGCATTCATACTTACTCCTTTCCAAGAGTGAACACCTGTAAGTTCATGATCTGGGTAATTTGAAATTGGGATTGTGTTATCTACTCCAAGGCATATCAAGGTAAATAAGTAAGGTTATGTATCTAAAAATACTTAGTGAAAATATGAATGAAATCTGACAATGTATGTTGAATATGTGGGAATGCAGGATTAGAAAGTTAATGATCTTAGGCTACCACTGATAAATTGTCTCAAAGCATGCTAGGGAAAAAAATTCAAATTGATTACAAAAAGTTCTGTGTATTTTTCTTCTTTACATAGGATACCATAAAGCACAATATATTTTTGCACAACAATAGCTATGTTCATCTATGAACAAAACTCTCCTATAACTGCTTATTTTATTCATATTTGGAACCAATACAGGAAGGTAAAGAAAAGAATAGAGGAGAAAGACAAGTAGAGGAGCAAGGAGGTGAACGAAGTGAGATGTGATATGGTAGTTGAATGAGAAAGAAGTAATGTTTAAGATGTGGAGGCTGCATTTCCACTCTCCATCCTCAATATTCTTTTAAAAAATTTCATTTAAGTTATACAAGTTTCATGTATTTCATATATACAAATTTAGAAACATAGTAATACTTCCCTCCCTACCCTTCCTCTCACCCATGTTCCAACTCTTCTTCTTTCTCGCTCTCCCATTCCCACTCTTAATTTTTACAAAGATTTACTTTCAGTTTACTTAATGAGCATTAAGTTAATCCTACACAAAGTAAAAGTGTTCAAAAAATAATATAAAGAAAAAAACAATCCAAAACACTTTTCCTCAACAGCAGAGACAAGGGCTGTAAACAATCATTGAATTTCAAAATGTCTGTTTCACTTCAATACATTACATTTTAGGTACTCTATTAGTTACATCAGATAACGGAAAACATAAGATATCTGTCTTAAAAGCTATTATTAATGATGAAATTAAAGCTTGATTGTATTTTCACAGAAACAAAGTTAAGAAAGTGTGATGATTTAGGTATCTATAAGATTCAGCAGTGACAATATTCTGGCACTGTTTTTTAGGAAAAAGGACCAGTATTTGGTTGTTCATTGAAGACCTGAGCCTTTTCACACATTTGCGCCTTTGAACATGTAAGCTATCATGCTTGTTGGAACTCATTTCCTCATTCTTGGACTCAACATGAACCTAAAATATTAGCTGCTTCATGAAGCATGTTCTTCTCCAGTCGGTAGCTTTTTTTAACCACTTTATTCATGTATGATTGGCATTCAAAGTACTGCAATATGAGTACTTAGTGTTTACAGTTTAATAAGCTTTGAAATAAATATACAAACATGGAATCATTATCACTATCTGGGTTATAATTATATATATTTTTTCAAAACTTTTCTCCTGCATACTTTGTTTATTATTATTTTGTGATGATAGAATAATTCAAATAAAATGTGCCCTCTTAGCAAAATTTTAAGTATACAAAATAATGTTGTTAACTAATGGCAATTTGCCGTGCAGTAGATCTCTAAGACCTGAATAATTGAAACCCTGTCCCCTTGCCCTGAAACTTCTCAGTTTCCTCTGGGTTTCCACAATAAATACTTTGCACACACTTCTATGTTAATGGTTCTCATTATATTGACATTATCTGTACAAACATGCAACAGATGCTTTGGGGGACTATTCCTATACTCCTTCAACACTGTAAGACACTCCTTCTACCAAGTACGGGAATGTTTGCTTGTTGATGACTTCCAACTGTGTCTCTCTCCAAGAACTGCACTCAGCTAAATGAGATTGCCTTGCCCCCTTCCCCAGGGAATCCCACATCCAGTAACTGTTTGATGTAGGAGTACAAAGGTTTGGCCCAGTGGTTCCAATGGGAATAACTCTGAGGGAGGATTCAAGCTTTGGAACTCCCTTGGGGAGTGGCTGAGTTTACTGTTGAACTGAAGTATAATTCAATTTCATCTTTTGCCTGAGCTGCTTCACTGTTGGAACCAGAGCACTCTATTAAATCTGATGCATACATATCTCTGATTACTTAAAGAAATCGATCTTAACCACGTGACTGTCTTTACCATTACACTGTATTACTAGAAAGAAAAATAAATATTTCCGTTTTTTCCATAGAATTACTCATAACTTGCTAACTTTTTTTAGGTGTTTTCTGTGGCTTAGGAATCATCATATATAATTTTTATAAAAACTCTTGAGATAGATAATACCTTATTTCAATGGTTCCAAAATCCACTAAGAAGTGCTTCGTAAATCTGTAATGGCTATTAGGGATTAAAAGGAAACAATTATGTAACAATAGTATATGTCCCTATAATTACATAAGAACATGTACTTTCACCTTTCACCTTTGGTAATTTTTGTTGTATATATAACTGTATTCCCTTTGTATTTTAATTAGCACTCAAAATTATACACATTTATGAAGTACCAGGTGATATTTGGATGTACATATACATAGTGAATGTTTATTTCAGTATGTCTACCTCCTCAAACATTTATCATTTCTTTGCTTTGAAAAGATTCAAAATCCTTTCTTCTAACTTTTCTGAAGTATGTAGTATATCATTGTCTAGAGTTACCCAACTGTGCAACAGAACATCAGAACTCTTTTCTACTCTCTGTCACTAAGTATGCCTTGACTAGCATTTCTCTATCCATTGTTTCATCTGTGCTCTCCCCAGCTTAGGTTAACTATTTCTCCACTCTCAACATCTATGAAATTAACTTTTAAAAGGAAAGGCCTCCTTCATTTTCAGTATAATCTTCTTTTTAAAAATTTTATTTAAGGTACAATTTTCATGGATTTCATATATGCAGATTTAGGAACATGGTGATACTTCCTACGTCACCCTCCCTCCCATCCATGCTCCAACCCTTCTTCCTCCTCTCCTATTTCCACTCTTAATTTTTATAAAGATCTATTTTCAGTTTACTTTACACTCGTAAGATTAACACTACACTAAGTAAAGAGTTCAACAAATAGTATGAAGAAAAAAACACTGTTCCTCAACAGTAGAGACAAGGTTTGTACATAATCATCGAATCTCAAAATGTCAAGTTCACTATAATAGATTACATTTTAGACAACATAATCTTCTAAATTTGTTCACCCCTTAGGAATAATCAATACTCACTTACATTACCAATTCAAGTTTAGGAATTTGAATTATTTAGTAACTTTCAGATTATCATCAAAAATTAAATGCATGTCTAAAAAATCAGAGTTTTACTTCTTTTTCTGTATTGTGAGACTGATACAATGTATGACTAAATGGAAACTATGCTTTATTGACATTAAAACACAGCATCTAAAAAGCAGGAAATTTGAATAGATTGATATTAACCTTTCTGAACTTAGAAAATCTAGTGTTGTATTTTAAGATGCCTCCTCATTTTTGCTTCCTTTAATTAGATTTCCTGGCATGTAGCAGTCATAACTCAACATAAACACAAGCACATCTCATTTTAGTATTGAATTATTATAGTATCACTTTAAGGATATTTAAAACAATGATTAAAATTCAAATTTAAGTAAAATTGCTTCAATAGTATGTGGTGATATCAATATAAAGGACTCAAATGAAATACGGTTTGGATGAACAGGTACTATCTATATTTTGTTGGTTCTACATGTATGAGCAATAACCAAAATGTCAAAACTCAGTCAGAATATCAAGATTACTCAGACAAGTGGCTGTAAACATTCAATTAGCATCACTGTTATATGCATCTTAATTTCAAAAAAATTATAATGTGAAAATATTTTATGAGATGAAACAGCAGTAGACTGAAGTTTGGAGAGATTAAGTAACCTGAAGTCACACAGTCTGTAAATGACAAAGCTGGCATTGGAACCCACATTTGTCTGATGCTAAAATCAATGCTCTAATGTCCTGTATAAGGTCTAGACTTATATAGGATCAATAAATGAATAAATTCATAGATCTAAGAATATTAACCTGAGGTATCCAAGACACAAAGACATCTGAACATATTTCAGTTTATTCTATTGTAATGTTTAAATTTAACTACCAATAATATTAAAATACAAATGGCATGTTATAAGACTAGAAAACGGATATTAGTCTGATAACATAAAGAAGAGAATGAAAGGTGATAGCTTTAATCTTTTTTTTTTTTTTTTGAGACATTGAGAAATGTGGGTTGAACCAAGAACAATTTGACAGGCTAAGCAGAATCTTGTGGAATACAGAATTTTGAGATCTACTTGTAATTGTTAATATTCAACTAAAATCTTGAAAACTAATGTGTTCACTGGGAAACTTTGTTGGTCAAGCAACTTTCCTAAGTATATTTTTAATACATTAGTCATGTCTAAAAGTTAAAAAAAAAACAATCATCAGAGACTAATATGAATTCACCTTTAGGAATTTAAAAGATATTCCAGCATGAAATGCATAGATGAGGGTCCTTAGGCAATGACTTGTTTCACACTGTAGCAGATTATATTGCTGGCATTAATCAGGCATGTGTATCACAATGCCTTGTACAACTGCTTAAGGCCTTGGGACCTTATTTACAAAATGCATGTATGCTTTTGGTTGGCACATTTATTATTTTACTCATTTTAAGTACTTATCACTGAACAGACATAGTCTCTTAGTAGAATTGTTTTATTATTTTAGCATGGATTTTATTTTTTCTCCCCACTATGCTATGTAACACCAGGAACTTACAAATACCATGAATTTCAGTAGTGATTTTTTTTCAGTAGCCATTTATAAAAAAAGATATGTTTTGCGATTCCAAAGAGGTCAAAGAAAATAGATTTGTAGTCTCATTCAACCCTATTAAACTTTATATTCCAAATCAGCTATTTCCTATGTGAGAACTTTTGATGGCATTTACCAGGAATGCAAACATTTAGTGTAGGGCTTAACATGTTGGTTAGGAGGCCTATGACTAGTAACTCTGCTCCCTGATTCCAACTTCCTTTTAATATGGACCTTGGGAGGAAGATTTCTATTGTGATTCCAGTTTTTGGCTTCAGCCATCACCATCTTTTACATGCATTTGAAGAGTGAACCGGCAGACAGGAGTGCCCACTCAGGTCTATCCATCTCACTCTCTATCATTTATATCTGCCTTACTCTGTATCCAAAAAATCTGAAAATATTTAAAAATGCGTTTATCAGGATCACTTACTTGGTCAGGAATATTGCATAAGAGCATGTGTGTCCTTGGGGTAAGAAATAATGTTAAATATTTTATGATACTGTAAAAAGGTATATCTGGAGATTATTGTTATTTACCATTATTGATACCTTTAGTATAAATAAACTAAAATATGATATGGAAAAAATAATTATTTTCATATAATTGCATATGAATTAATCAGTGAAGTATATACTAACAAATAAACACATTGAGGAGGGAAGGCATCTGGCACAGCAGATAAGATGCCATTTAGGAGAGCCACATCTCTTATTGGATGCTTGGGTTTGAGTCCTGATTCCACATTCCTACCAATGTGTACCCTGGAAGGCAGAGGGTGATGGCTCAGGTGGTGGATCCCTGCCTCCCACTCATGTGGAGGACCCAGCTTGAGTTTCTGGTTCCTGGCTTAAGCTTGACCCAACACTGACTGTTAGGGGCATTTGAGGACTAAACCAGTGATGGACGGACGATCTCTCTCTCTCTCTCTCTCTCTCTTTCTTCTTCTTCTTCTTCTTCTCTTTCTCCTCCTTCTCCTTCTTCTTCTTCTTCCTCTTCCTTCAAATAAAATAAACAAAAATTTTAAGAAGTAATTTCCCTCTTCAACTCTTAGCAGGATATGCTTTCTCTGTAAAGCATGAGATATACATTAATTGGTTGTGTATTCCTGAATCTCTTGTATATGATGGATTTAGGATATAGCATAGTGAGCTGACAAGTGCAAAATATGGAGAAGTTAAAGAAAAATGATATATCCAGCTATGGGTAAAAGCTATCTGATATTAAGGTTTTAAAGAATAAATTAATATCTGTTTTGTTCAAGACTTTTCTAGAGTATAAAGTTAATATCCAATAACAAATTTTAAACACACATAATTAAAAAATTATAATGGGAAAAAAGACAGGGAGAAGAAGTTTATAACTGTAAAGCTGTATAGTTCTGTATACATTCCTACAGACTTACTTCTCTTTTTAAAAAATATTTATTTATTTATTTGAAAGTCAGAGTTACACACAGAGAGAAGAGTCAGAGAGAAAGAGAGAGAGAGAGAAAGAGAGAGTGAGCGAGCAAGCTATTTCATCTGCTGGTTCACTCCCCAATTGGATGGAGCTGCACCATCTGAAGCCAGGAGGCTGGAGCTTCTTCAGGGTCTCCTATGGGGGAGACCATCTTCTACTGCTTTCCAAGGCCATAGCAGAGAACTAGATTGGAAGTGGAGCAGCTGGGACTTGAACTGGTGCCCATGTGGGATGCCGGTGCTGGAGGTAGCAGCTTTACCCACTACACAACAGCACTGGCCCCCAGAACTTACTTCTAAGGATATAATTTAAAAACTTGCCATGGGACCCCAAATCCCATTAAGCTGGGTGGTAAAAATGCCATCTTAAGGGGCAGGCACTGTGGTGTAGCAGGTAAAGCCACCACCTGCAGTGCAGGCATCTCATATGGGCACTGGTTCGAGACCCGGCTGCTCCACTTCTGATCCTGCTCTCTGCTGTGGCATGGGAAAGCAGTAGGAGATGGCCCAGGTCTTTGGTACCCCGCACCCATACAGGAGACCCGGAAGAAGCTCCTGACTTTCAAATAAATAAATAAATAGATCTTTAAAAAAAATGCCATCTTAAGTGTTAAGGTGATCACATTAAGTGTTAAAGTGAGCATATAGATAGGATTAAGTGCTAAAGTGATCATAGAAATAAGATCTAGTGCCTGGTAATAATAATAGAATTAAAAAGGAGAGAATGTGCCAACATGGGAAGCCATTAACACAGCAGACTCATAGAATGACAATTGCTATAAGTAGCACTCTGGTCTCAGAATTAGCCCTTAAGTCTTCCTGGTCTGGCTGAAAAGTCCATGAGAGAATTTCAGGCATGGAAATCTATGACACTGTGGCAAATAATGTCCTATATGAAGGACCTTGGTGAGTGAGCCCCCAATGGAAAAAAGTGGCCATCAAAGAAGGATGTAATTTTCTCTGAAGGGAGGAGAGAACTTCTATTTTGCATATGGTCTTATCTAAGTACTGATGGAGAATGTGGATTCAAAAGGCTTCCATAGTTTAGGTAGCTCAAGTTAAGAGCTTCAGGTGATCACTGGCTTCATACATAAGAGTGTTAATAGTTATATAAACAACAGGAGTCCCTGTGCACTAACTTCCCATAGAGGACCTCTGTCCTAAATGAGTTGTACTATGAGAGTTAACTGTAAGACTTGTTCTCAAACAGTTTCTTTTTTTTTTTTTTTTTTGGTGTGTGTGTGTGTGCGCACAAATTGTTGAAATCTTTATTTAGTATAGAGTTGGTCTTCTGTTTACAAAGCTAATTAAAAACGAATCTTAATGGAGAATGAGACTGGGAGGGGAGAGGGAGGAGGTGGAGGGATGTGGGTGTACTTATGAAATTCGTGTTCCTTAAGTAAAAGGTTTATTTGGGAAAATAAAAAAAATTTAAAAATTTAAAAATAGAAATATTTACATTAAAAAATAAAGAAAGGGAATGGGGATCACCGAACATTACACAGGGTCACAGGGACACTGCTATCTGCCATTTCCTTATGTGATGGGGAAAAAAGTTGCTTCCCTCTGGGCTTAGTCATCATGCCATATAACTAAGAAAAACATCCTGTATTATCACCATCCAACTAACATGAACTTAACAATAAAAATCACTCAAATTCCTGAAAGACTATATATCCATTCTCAAAATCAAAGAATAATTTGTAGAGGTTCAAGAACACATTATGAATCTTTTTACTGTATTCTATGTTTAGGCTAAATGATAGCTGTGAGAAAACTACATTTTCATTTTTTTAAATTAATTTTAACAGATTCAATATGATTTGTAGATACAAAATTAAGAACATAATGATATTCTCCTCTTCTCTCCTATCCTTCCCCTCACATCTTCTTTCTCTCTACCTTTCTTTCTGTCCTTTTTCTAGCATTTGAGATAATATTTTAAATTTATATTACAGAAAAAATAATCTCATTGTTCAAGCAAACACCAAGAATGTTGGAAGAATCAAAATCAGTATAATTCTATGTGAAAGTGCTACCATAATGAAAAATGGAAACCATGAGCTGTCCAGATATTAATCAGTACATACTTATGTCATCTATTATCAAAAATATCTAAAATAGGAAGTAAATGTCTCTTTCTTCCTCCTTTACTGAAACATAATTAACAAAAATTGTATGTTGTTGTTAAGGTATACAACCTGATGTCTTGATCTACATTTACATTGTGAAATAGTCACAACTTGCTAATTAACATATCCATCACCTCGTATAGTTACCACTTTATTTTCTTATATTTGTGGTGAGAATACTTAAGATCTGAAACTTTTTATTATGAGATAATTATAGATTCACAAGCACTTGTAAGAAGTAATACAGAGAGATGTCATTAATCACTTACTCAATTTTCCCAGTAGGTGCCATGCACAACCATAGTACAATATAATAACCAGAATACTTATATGCATAAAGCCAAGATACAGACAAATTCTCTCCTTGCAAGGGCTCTTCATACTGTTCTTTTATATCAAATCCATCCTTAACCCCTCCTTAAATCTTGACAACTAGGAATCTGGTTTTCACTTGCCCCCCCCCCCCAGCTTAACACTTTGGAGACCCATTCGGGTTGTCTCATGAATCAATAGCTTGTTTCCTTTCACTTAGTATTCAACGATATAGGTAGAGTGATGTTTGTTTAATTAGTCACTGTTGAAAGACATTGCCTCCTTTACCTATTTTGAGACTTTTATGAAAAGTCTACCATTAAACATTCTTGTACCGTTTTCTTTTATGAATATAAGCCTTTCTCTGAGATAAATAAATGCTTAAGGGCACAATTGCTTGGTTACATGGTAATTGCATGCTTTTTTTTTTTTTTAAAGAAATGGTAAAAGTTTTTATTCATTGATTATTACATTTTACATCTCCACTAGAAATGTTTGAGTGATTCAACTTCTCCAAATATTCATCATCACAGGGTGATATTACGGTTTTTTTGTCTTAGCCCTGTGTACATGTATAGTAATAGATCGGTGTATGTTTTAAATTTTCATTACCCTAATGGATAAGGCTGTAGAACAAATTTTCGTGGACCATCTTGGTAGTCCCTTTGTTGAAATATCTATTATGATCTTTGAAATATTTTTAATTATTTTAATTATTTTTCTGTTGAATTTTAAAAAAATTTAAACTTTATTTCAAACTTTATTTTAGTTTTAAACTTATGAAACAAATATTGTAAAGTAGCATAAAAAGATCCCAAATACCTTATATCTAACTTCCTCAATTGTTAACATTTCATATTAGTCTAATATATTTATCACAATTAATAAACCACATTTTTTCATTTTATTTGAAAGGTAAAGAGACACACAAGGAGAATCAGAGACAGACAGAGAAAGACCTTCCATCCTTTAGTTCACTCTCCAAATATCTGCAAAATCTGGAGTTGTGTTACATGGAAGTCAGGAGCCTGGAGCTCAATCTATGTCTCCCATGTGGGAGACAGGGGACTGAAGTACTTTAATTATTACTGCTGCCTTATGGAGTGTCCATTAGCAGGAAGCTGGAATGAAAAGTAGGTCTGGACACAAACAAGCACTCCAGTGTGTCAACCATTGCACCACATACCCATCTCTCCCATTGTGTTCTAAGAGTTCTTTAGATATTTTTGAGAGTCTTTCTTTGTTGGATTGCAGTTTACAATTGTTTTCTACAAGTTTTTAACTTGTCTTCATTGTCTTGACATAACCCTTTGAAGAACTAAAGTTTTTATTTGGGATGAAATCCAGTTCAAAAACTTTTCCTTCAAGGGTTGTATTTTTGGTGTCAAAGAGTTTCTTCATATTTGCGAAATCTTTCAAAAAATACCTCAGCCAATTTGTTAGGGTCAGTATCAAAGTTGTAAGCTATATTGAGTATGTACACTTGATGTAATGTGATGAAAATTGTACTTAATCTCTGATTCACTCTATATACAACCCACTCCAGTCTTATCAAGAGAAAAGCATTAGACAAATTCCATTTCAGGGACTTTTTACCAAATACATGTCAAAGTTTCAACACTGTCAAGTTTAACCCAAGCAAGTAAAGTCCAGAAGAGCCTAAGAAGACATGATTATTCTTGTAATATGCTATGCCAGATAGGACTGTGGAAAAGGATGTAATAGGTAAGGACACTTGACTGCTACGTGTAATAGACTATGGTGGCTGGGATTTTGGGACAGAAAATAATATGTAAGGGAAGACTAAGGACATCTAAATAGCACATGGACTTTGATTAATAATAATTTATCAATTTTAGTTGTTTAACTGTAGCAAATGTACTCTACTAATAAAATATTTCATAATCAGAGATATTAAGTATGATGTTATGAGAACTCTGTATTGCCTTCAAAATATATACATAAGTATAAAACTCTTCTAATATGAAAAATTTATTTTAAATGCATATTTATCATTTTTTGTAAATTGACAATTTCTAGATACGATAAACAACACAAGAACTGTTCTAGCACTTAGTGGAGCAGGATCTGAGAT